GACTGTTTGTTCTACTCCAACTTGTGGGTAACAGAAAAGAAGCCTGTCATCTCCTCCAAGGATCTGAAACAACTTCTTTGTCTTCCTTTCTGTTCTCCAGGCTAATTAACCTCTCAACTTGTTGTGGAACAGGTTTTTAAGGTTGCACACCATCCTGGCCACCCTTCAGTTTGTTAGATCCTCTTAAATTGCCATGGCCAAAACTATCATAAGACTTCCTTGTGATCAAGTCATTATAGGTAATGAGAAAACTATTTACTCCTTTAACTTGGACTCTATGGCTTTTTAACAACCTCATCCCATGGTTGGTTTCAATTAGGAATGTGGTCACCTATAGACCTCAAGTGTTTTTCTTCCAAAAGAGCTCTCCCTAAGATTATTTACTCTTTCATTCATCAGTTCATTTAACAACATTTTATGAAGTGACTCTTGTATTTGATGCATTGTATACATGGTTATTTGAATGTAAATTCCAGATGCAGAATTTGTCTCTGTTAATTATTGGAGACTAAGACATTCCAATCTGCCATGTACGATATTGGCTATTACTAAGATTATCTGTTGCTGTGTGACAAATCACCCCCAACATGATGCATAAGTACTGATCATCTACTTAGTTAATGATGATGCCATTTGGGCCAAACTCAGCAGGAAAGACTCATCTTTGCTCCACAAGGCATCAACTGGCCTCCTCAGGCCCCATACTCTTTCTATGTGGTCTCCTCATGTGGTCACTCCAACATGGCAGCTTCAGGGTAGCCATCCAAAAATGCATTTTCCGAAAGAGAGAGAACCAGAAAGGAGCTACAGAAGCACTTCTAACCTAACCTCAGAAATTACTTCAGGTCACTTTTTATTTGTCACATTTTATTTGTTGAAGAAGTCTCAAATTCCTCCCCTTTTTCAAGGACTGAGGGAACCCATCTCTCCACCTCTTGATGACTCTAACATCTCCACAGCTACCATTGCTTTTATTGGAGTGATGGTTCTCAAACAGTGGTCATAAAGAGCTCTGATAGTCCAGGGACTGAATTGAGTTTTTGTACCATAAGGACAGAACTTTAACATGCATTCCCTTCGTCATCTCTCGCAAAAGTAAATATGATTTTGTCCTGGTGACAGCCACCTTCACTGTCCACTCACACCTGCCCTTGAGCTGAGAAGCATTACTCCTGTAGACCCATAGCAAGGACATCAAGTTTTCCACAGACCTGTGTAAGACAGGCTCCTTGAAGTTACTTTTCTCCACGTTGGAAGCTGTGTTCTGGAGCTCAGTCTCAGGAAGATTGCCTGGGCTGCTTTGAGATTAAATTAAATTCAAAGGGGAGAAGAAATATTCCTTCAATCCCTTAGGTTTCTGGAAATACCATAAAATTTTGCTGATGACACTCAAGAAAAGGAAATCTTTATAATAAGTAAATTCTGCCAATATTATCTCCTTGAATATCTTCTGGGGCCAGCAGAGTGATAACATCCTGAGTTCATTTAAAGTAAATGAGATTTTAAACTTTCAATTAGCATTATTTCTAAAATGTTAAACAGGAACCCTATTACATTGCTCAAAGAAAGATGGATGGGGCTTCCAAGCAGACCTCAGAACTGCTAACTTAGAAGAAGCAGGGGAGTTGCTGAAAAGCACATGAGCTTTGAAACTAATATCCCAGCTGCAGTGACAGCACCCTATGATCTGGGGAAATCATTTAACCTCATTGTGCCTCAGATTCCTCATTTGTCAAATAGGGAAAAGCAAATGTGAAATGCTCACCGATGTTCCATGTGACTTTCACTAAATCTGGAAAGCAGAAAAGTTCCAGGCTTAATTCTTACTATCTAGCACCCAACAAGGAAAAGTAAAGAGAAAAATAGAGCAAATAAGGGACTTAGAATTAGTAACTTTGCTTCCAAATAGCTTCTTAGAACCTCTGTTTCCTCGTCTATGAAATGCAGGTAGCCATTCTTGCACTGCACATATGCCTGGGAAGATGAGCTGATTAAATAAGATGATGCCTGAAAAATAGCACCATAAACCTAACAGCATCAGAACTTGTCAATGACTTTGTAAAAACGAACAAAAAAAGTTGTATGAATCGATCAAGTTCTGAGGTGCTAGTATTGAGAAAAAGGCAAGAGGAAGTGGGAGTTTGAGCCAAGCTCTCACCTTTGGACTGAATCTGTAAAACAGCAAAGATTCAACCAAGATATCTGGAGCATCCAGCTATGTGATGACTATGCACAGATTCTAGGTGACAAGGAAGAAAGGAATGTAGGTAGGAAGGGATGACTGGCTTTTAGGGAGGACCTGCTAAGAAAGGGAGTAGGACTTAGCAGTTTGGAGTAGGGATTCAATTGCCTGGCTCTGATCCTTAATACAGTGCTTCTTAGCTGCAAGGTCTTGGTCAGATAATTAACTTTCTGTGCCTCAGTTTCTTCATCTGTAAAAGGGAGATAATTAATACTAGGGTCTCCTGACAGTTGTGAAGATTTTATTAGTTACTGTAAGTGTTTGGAACTTGAGTGCTTCCCATACAGTAAGCCCTCAATCTGTATTATATTTATTAATTTAATGATTACACTGAACTAAAAATATATTTATAAAGAGTTTAGTCCATGCCAAGCCCTGTTCTAGAAACTAGGCAATGTTATGAACAAAGCAAATCCCTGTCCTCATGTAGTTTGGACAGGGTTCTAGAGCAGTTCCAGAAACATAACAAACAAATTACTATAAAGTAGGTGAGTTCATATTACGATAATAAATTACTACTGAAAATGCCATGGATAAAAATAAGGCAGGGTATAAGGGGTATGAGGTTAAGGGACTGAAATTTTAGATAGAATAACCCAGGAAAGCTCCCTGAGGCTGTGACTCACTCTTCATTTAGGGGAAGATGTGGTAGGCTTCCCCAGGGGGCCCCCAGGATGGAGGCACTCATTTCACCTGCTACCCAAATCTCTGGCTGCTGCCTGTAGACTCAGGCAAATAGAACTTCTTCACTCCAATGTTTACTCCCCCTCAGAAGGCAGCCTTCAATCATGATTGGTCAAAATGGATACACAAGAGCCCTGCCACTTCTCAACTGGGACAAATTCTTTTTTTGCTTTTTTTTTTTTTTTTTGAGACAAAGTCTCACTCTGTCACCCAGGATGGAGTGCAGTGCTGTGATCTAGGCTCACTGCAACGTCCTCCTCCTGGATTCAAGTGATTCTCCTACCTCAGCCTCCCCAGTAGCTGGGATTACAGGTGCCCGCTACAACACCCAGCTAAGTTTTGTATTTTTAGTGGAGATGGGGTTTCACCATTTTGGCCAGGCTGGTCTTGAACTCCTGACCTCAAGTGATCCTCCCGCCTCAGCCTCCCAAAGTGCTTGGATTACAGGTGTGAGCCACTACACCCAGCCTTCAACTGGGACAATTCTGAAGGGCCAACCTAGTGGCAGGATTCCCTGTGGGGATTTCTGGAGGCCTCCACTGAATTGCATTATGGTCCCACTTCTCCTTCTGCCTAATACCTGCTTCCCTCCCTCCACAGTTGTTCCTGAGTCTACTCCCCAAGAAGCGTCCTCCACATAAACTCCAGAGTCTTGGACTCTTCTCTAGGAAACCTGACCTATGACCAAGGCTAAATAACTTGTACAAAGTCTTTGAGCAGAAAGGAAGGGAGCTAGGACTTGTTCCTGGGCCTGCCTGCCTTGGTGGCCTATGCACCTCTTGGCAGTTATCACCTGCAATACATTCCAGCCTGTTCCTGTCAGTGCAGCACCAGGAAGCTTCTTAGAATTTCTGAGCAACACAGAGCATGAGGGTGGGTATGGCTGTGGATAAGCGAAAAAGAAGTGAATGTTAATTTCAATAGCAGAAGATATTGAATTTCCCACATCGAAACCCAATGATGAGGAAGGCGCATTATCGCATTTTGAAAAAATAACCTGTCGTATTCTAGAACTTGACTTATGTTTTGCTGCAAACTCAGTGCCTTTGCAATAAATGGATAATGGTTAACTTTATGTAAACTTTAAAAAACCCTCTTTACAAATAAGTTCTCCCTTTCAGTTTTCAACTGGGACAAATTATTCTTTCACTTTTTTTTTTTTTTTTAAGACATCCTCTGTAACCCAGTATGGAGTGCAGTAGTGTGATCTCGGCTCACTGCAACCTCCTCCTCCTGGATTCAAGTGATTCTCCTACCTCAGCCTCCCCAGTAGCTGGGATTACAGGTGCACATTTTTCTTATTTTATTTTGTTTTATCTTTTTAAAGTTCAGGGATACATGTGCAGGATGTGCAGGTTTGTTACATAGGTAAAGGTGTGCCATGGTGGTTTGCTGCACAGATCATCCCATCACCTAGGTATTAAGCCCAGCATTTATTAGCTGTTCTTCCTGATGCTCTCCCTCCTCCCCACCCACACTCTGACGGGGCCAGTGTGTGTTGTTCCCCTCCATGTGTCCATGTGTTCTCATCATTCAGCTCCCACCTATAAGTGAGAACACACAGTACTTGGTTTTCTGTTCCTTCATCAGGTTGCTGAGAATAATGGCTTCCAGTTCCATCCATGTCCCTGCAAAGGACATGATATCATTCCTTTTTACGGATGCATAGTATTCCACGGTGTATACGTACCACATTTTCTTTATCCAATCTAACATTGATAGGCATGTAGGTTGATTTCATGTCTTCGCAATTGTGAATAGTGCTGCAATAAACATATGCATACACATATCTTTATAATAGAACAATTTATAGTCCTTTGGATATATACTCAGTAATGGGATTTCTGGGTCAAATGGTATTTCTGCCTGTAGGTCTTTGAGGAATTGCCATACTGTGTTCCACAAGGGTTGAACCAATTTACACTCCCACCAACAGTGTATAAACAAGTGCATTTTTCTATGTTTTAGAATGGCGGGCACCTGTAGTCCCAGCTACTCGGGAGGCTGAGGCAGGAGAATGGCGTAAATCCGGGAGGTGGAGCTTCCAGTGAGCTGAGATCCGGCCACTGCACTCCAGTCTGGGCGACAGAGGAAGACTCCCTCTCGAAACAAACAAACAAACAAACAAAAAAATGGCATTTATATCTTAGGACAAAAAGTGAACTTTTGGGGGGCGCCCAAAAGGTGATCTTCCGCCTAGTCTCAATGATATCTTTACTTTCACATCTGAATGTTTTTAATACCTGACTTTGGCTTCAGGCACGACCCTGAATGCAGAGGTTTCAGAGGCTGGAGAAAAGCCATCTCAGATGGAAAGACGGAAGACAGAAAATCTTCAGAGACTGGGAAAGTCTTCTTGTGTTACAAATGATTGGAAGGGAATCCAGGAGCTGAAAGAGAATTAGCATTACTATAAATGGAATCTCAAAAAAAGCAAAAGTTCAGTTAAAATATCCAGAACTTGAAGGAAAAAAAACTAAGTCCAAATACACGTAATTTTTAATGAGCACTTACTACGTATCTGAGCTCAGTCTGTAGATGTATGACTGCATTTATAGAGCACTTTTATGCGGAAGATGGTATTATAACTCACTTTAAAGGAATAAAAGCTGAGGTTCAAAACAGGTGTCTTCCCAAAATTTACACAAATGGCTTTCAGAGTGAGTGTTTCAACCTAGATTGGCTAGCTATCGGTGCTATGCCAAAAACCAAGAATTCATTTTTATGATCATTGGGAAGGCAACTAAAGAAAAAACTATCCAGTTCTTTCACAGTTCTGCCCTTGCATTTTCTGAGATGCAACATTGTAACCCTCAGGAAACAGTCCAGTCAAATGGATTCTTTGAGTTTATCTGCAAATCTGTATAAATACATAATCTTCTCCAAAAGTATTTGTGAAGACGCATTTCTTTTGTTCTCCCAGAACCTCTTGAGCTTCCACTGTGGCATTAATAGCAGGGGGTTGAAGCCTACCTTATCAGAGTAGATGTAGAAAAATTACAAAATTTCTAGCAGCACAGCATTCTTTTGACATGTTCCAGCCTCTCCTAGAGCCTATCAAAATAGTGATATGGGTCTAAGAAATGATTAAAAGAGAAGGCCAAATATTTCTACTAAGTATTAATGACTCTGATTTTTACTGATGCATTGTTGGCCTCTTTTCATTTTGGAATCTTGGAAGAACTTCCAAATCAGAGATGGGAAACCTTGTAAGGCATCAAAGCAAATGTTACCTAGTCTCCAACTGAAGTTCATAGGAATTCATGGATTCAATAGGATTCTAGCAAATAGAAATATATAACATGATCTTAAAATATAATTTTTAAACTCCTGCATTATTTGAATAGTGTCCTTGACCATTTAACCCCCAGCCCCCAAGCCTCAATTTCTGCATCTACGAAGTAAGAAAAAGCTACTGGAGTTCACATACCATGCAGGGCTAATGTGAAGAGCTAATGATCCCTTTGGTTTTCTGGTAAAGTATTCGCTGAGCTGCCTTGAAAGTGTTTTATTGGATATTGGTTGCATAATGAAAATACTCTAATCGCGTTCCTTCCCCCACTTCCCTATGCTCAGCAGCATTTGGGAATTGTCCATTATCCAGTGTAACCGCATAAGCTTCGTTTTAGAAGCTTTTCATGACCTGCTCCCAAACTCCTACCTCTCCAAACTCCACTGGAATATCTTTCTTTCCCACCACAGCCAAAGATACACCACTTTTGAGACCAGTCATTGACTTTCATTTTGCACTGATTTGTTTAATCAGCTTCCTCTGTGAAGAATGCTCCTCTCCCAGGCTGCCCAAAGAAATCAAGTTAATAATTTAAATCTCACTCAAATGTCACTCTAGAGAATCTTTTCCTGCCACTCCCTTGCCACCCCACTGAGCTCCATGGCACTTTGCTCTTACGGCTAACCAAGACCATAAGGCATCTGGCTATGCTCAAGGTGACCTACAAAATTTGCAAAATTGTAATTCAGTAACCCAGGTCACCTGGCTCATTGTTCTAGTCTCTTTCCACAGATGCTTCTGTAAATAATAATAATAATAATAATAATAAATAAATAAATAAATAAAAGAGAAAGAAAAAGAAAAAAACTAGAAACTAAATTACTCCAGGATCTGTGGGAGACTCTGGTGAATACCCAAGACAGTCATTTCATGTTTAATAAAGCGAATCTACCCAGCCATTCTAATAAAATTGTAGAAATGCAATTGACTGGACCTCATGGCTGGCTCTGTCTCTTCAGATAAGGCAAAGAAAGCTGAGTACTGTGCTTCCAGAAAATAAACTAAAGCAAGAATGAACTAAAGGGCTGTAATTCCATCAAGGGTCTCTGGCCAGTGACAGAAACCCCCCAAAGCAGGCTTCTGTGATCTCAGAAATTACCACTTCTGTGAAATCATTGGTCCCTACAATATTTGAGTTAGATTCTGACAGTGACAAGATTCACCAGATAAGGCCATGGACTGCAGTCACAGACTGAATTTGTGTAACAAAGCTGTCCACAAATGAAGGATTCACTTATTGTCAATGAAAGCAAATAAATTCCACTGTAGTGATGCCTTAAGTCCACAACCTCAAAGTAGAATTTCACCTCACTCAATTAGAAAACATCCATGTATGCAAAAATTGAAATAATTCAGGATACCTGTAAATCAAAGGAAGAGAGCTTTTGTTGTTAGAGCTGATCAACCATAAAGTGTTATCAGACATAGAATGCCAAGAAGATCTATAGGATTCAAGAAAGTGGAAGTCAAGTTGTAACCCTACCTTGACACAGCATGGCATCTTTCGAATAACATTGTATAATTATCTTGATATAGCCTCTCAAAATGCATCAATGGACCAGGCATGGTGGCTCATACCTATAATCCCAGCACTTTGGGAGGCCAAGGCAGGTGGATCACAAGGTCAGGAGTTTGAGACCAGCCTGACCAACATGGTGAAACCCCATCTCTATTAAAAATACAAAAAATAGACGGGCATGGTGGTTGCGCCTGTAATCCCAGCTACTCAGAATGCTGAGGCAGGAGAATCACTTGAACCCGGGAGGCGGAGGTTGCAATGAGCCAGGATCACGCCACTGTACTCCAGCCTGGGTGACAAATGAGACTCTGTCAAAAAAAAAAAAAAAAAAAAATCCATAAATGTAGGCAAGTACCTAGCATAATTGTCCCCATTTCACACATGAGGAGAAATGTGACTCAGAGAACCTACGTGATTTCCCCAAAGTCATGTTAAGTAGAGGCTCAGGGTCAAAACCACCCCAGTCTGGTGATTTGTCCACTCCCCTAAATATCCTCTCTACTCAGGGATTTCACACACCATCAAGTAAAGGCTTCCGTTCAAAGAAAAGTACAACATTCTAAAGGAAACTCTAGTTGTTTCAAAAAATTGCCAGGCAATAATGCTATGACTATTTAACTTATCGTTATTATTAATAAAGTGAATGTAGATTATCCTACCTAAATTTTGGTCTTTACTCTCCATGGAATGTGTTTTACTAGAGATGAAATATAATGTATTTTGAAGTGGATGGTATTTGGCTGAGGAGAGACTTGGGTTCAAATACCAGCTTTGCTATTTACTAGCTTTGTGGCTAAGGGCAGGTTACTCAGTCCCTTTGAATCTGAGTTTTCTTATCATTAATATAGAAATTATAATACATTCATCACAGAAATATGGCAAGTAGTAAGCAAAACTGCATGTGAAAAGTGTTTCACAGGGTGTGCTTGATGCATAGTTGTGCTCAAAGAATGTCGAAATCTAGGGAAACAAACTCTAACATCTTGTCTGCTAACGGTGATCAAGTTACCACAAGTTCTTTCCTAGAGAGATTTCATTCAGGCTGTAGCTCCACTAGGGTAATACTCTTTGCATAATACCTTACACTTTGTGAAGAAGGAACACACACTGTCACAATTAAGGAATCAAATCACTGTCTTCAGGTTTCAGCCATTTGCCAGAAATCACGTTAACTTTTGAATCCACTAGCAAAAGATAAAGATTCACTTCTTTTCCTTATGAACAGAATTCAAACAAAACATGCCCTAAACATCTGAAATAAGACCCCATACTGGGAAAGCACTAGATGCCAGTTACAATTTCTTGAGCAGCTGCCAAGTTCCAGTCTCACTGTAAGGCACTTCCACCCATTAAAAGACATTAGCACATTTGAGCCTTGCAAACCACTCAACAAGTAAGCTGTGGAAATATAATATTCTCTTCATTTTACAAGTGAGGGAACTGAGACTCAGAGTTGCCCATGGTTGCTTAGCTCCCAAAAGTAGCAGAACAAGATTCTGACTCCAATGCTCTTCCTGACTCCTTTAAGGCAAGGCTCTTCCTGCCTCCCAAGTCACTATCAAGTCGACATCCAACAGAAAGTGCCCCAAGAGTGTGCACGGGTGGCTGTGAGTGGGAGTTGCCTGACTCACCACTGCCACTGACTCACCATCAGGAGGGATCTGCTGCACTGGCCCTTTGCACTCTGATTCTCTGCTTTTGAAATAGGATGGCACCTAACTTGGTTTAGATTTAAGTCAGTATCTACTTACCAAGTAGCCTGATTCATTTCAGAATTTCACATGTGTACTATGTTTCCCAGAAAGCCATTTGAAGCAGCAGCCTTTTTTTCTTTGAGTTTTATTGTTTCACAAAGGAAAAACCTTTTTTTCACCATTGCTCACTATTTATGAAGTCAACACTATTTGTCAGGCTGACTAGACCGATTCCATCCCTGCCCTCGTGGAGCTGATAGTCAGCTGGGCATAACAGACATAAACACTAAATTATAGAAGTGATTACACAATAAAAACTCTGATGACTGCCACAAAGGGGAAGTCCAGAATGCAATAAGATGTTTTATTAGGGGACATACCACAGTCTTGGGGTCAGGGAGGGCTTCCCTGAGAAAGTGCTATCTAAGGAGAAAGCGGAAGGATGAGTACAAATTGGCCAATCAAATGGAGGGCTAATGACACTCCAAGCAAAGGAAACAGCACTTGCAAAATCCCTGGGGCAGAAAGAATAGTAACACATTTAAGGAACTGAGAGGTCAGTGCGGCTAAAGCGCAGAGATTCAAAGTGGAAACGATGTAAGAATTGAGGAACAGGAGTATAGCACTGCTTTCCAAAGCACTAACTGGTGATGGCATCAGTCATTGTGAATGCAAACAATCAGCCCAATGCAAATGCCAGTTAATCTCTCTGATATTTATGTAAGTTAGACCTGAACCAATGAAAAGTTCAATGGCTAATTTTTCTCTCTTCTTCTCTTCCTCTTCCACCTTCTATTTTTTTTCTTGATGAATGCATTACTTTCTAAGTATGAGAGGGGAAGTAGAGAGAAAGAATCTCCAAAGAAACTGCTTACATTACACATC